CTCCCCGGGCGCCGGGCTTCTCGGGGGCTCCCGTGCTTCCCCCCAGCGGCCTCTTTTTCGGGGGCGGGGAGGGCTGCTTTCCATCCTCCCCTGGGCCCTGGCTCTCTGCGCTCGTGGGCGGAGGGGTCATTTCCCCCCACTTGGTAAGTGCGTTCCAACCCGCGCACACACTTGGTAAGATTTTCACGGCGGCGGGGAGAGGGCAGGGCTCAGCCTTCCTGGGTCCCGCTCCGCCTGGGAGGGCTCCCAGAGGGATTCTGATCTCTCTAGAGGGCAATTCATGTCTGCCTGGCGGGGTGGGGGGAATCCCAATTTCTGGGGTGACCTCGGAAAGATAACGAGTTACTTAGGAGGTCTTCATTTCTGGGCGTTGTGCGGGTTCTTGGTATCTTCTGGGAACCCCAACGGAGGAAAAGGGTCTTAATTGCACGAGGTGCCTTTTCCCTTAGGGGGCTGCATTTTCCATGGGGAGGGGTGCACCCTCTTGTATATAGGAAGCGGCTGCTTTTCCTTGGAGAAAGGGGTTGCAAATTCCCCGAGCATCTCCTGTCCCCCAAGAGGACCGTCAAGTTGTTTAGAGGCGATTCTCAGTCTATGGAGGTTCATTTCCTGGACCGGGTTTTAAATTTCCTGGCGATTTTCCATATCTGGGGGTGAGGGAGGGAGGGTTTCATCTCCTTGAAAGTTTTTATAGGGGTTAGGGTTTCGTGGTTGTGTTTTTTTTGGATTTTGGGGTGTTGTTTTTTTTTTTTTTGTACTGGGTATCGAACTCACCTTGAGCTTGCGAGGCAAGTGGCAGAACCACTGAGCTGAATCCCTGGCCCCTCTCATCGTATTTTTAAGGGAGTGACCAGCTTCCTGGAGATTGCTCGTTCCCTCAGACCTTCAGTAGCTTCCCAGAGAGTAATGTTCCTTGGCTGTTCCCAAAGGTGACCCCTTCTCTGGCAGTCTCCGTTCCCGAAAGACCCCTCTTTCTTGGAGACCTTGGTTTTTCCAGTGAACCCTTTTTCTGGGCCTCCTCTCCTTGGGACTTGCTGACCCTCTGTGCCCACATAGGTGATGATGTTTGGCAGCCTCGCCATCGCCCAGGAGCTGCTGAAACAGGGTGCCAGCCCCAATATCCAGGATGCCTCTGGCACGAGTCCGGTCCACGATGCAGCCCGAACTGGATTCCTGGACACGCTGAAGGTCCTCGTGGAGTACGGCGCCGATGTCAACGCGCCCGATGGCTCTGGGGCACTGCCCATCCACCTGGCGGTGCGCGAGGGCCACACCTCGGTGGTCAGCTTCCTGGCCCCGGAGTCTGATCTCTGCCACAGGGACGCCGCGGGGCTCACACCTGCGGAGCTGGCACGGCAGAGGGGGGCTCAGGACCTCGTGGACATCCTGCAGGGGCACAAGGTGATCCCACTGTGACCCTGGGCCACCTGCTCCAGCCAGAGAGCCGTGTGGGATTATCGGTCAGAAGAGGAGGCGACACTTCCCTTGCTGCTCCTGCCCGCTGAAGAAGGGGGAGGAGGACCAGTTTGTGGCTTATTGGTGTTGATTTCTGGGGTGTGTGTGTTTGGGGATGTTTCTCGTTTGTTTTCTTCTTGTGGGTTGGACAAAGAGCCATAGGCGACTGCAATCTAAACGGTTCAGTTTCTTCTGCACCTCAGGCCCCTGGCTCGGGCTGCAGACGAGACCCAAGGGCAGCGCGTTAAAGCCCCAGCCCCAGAGTGGAGTAATCTCTAGCAGGACTCCTAGAACCTGGTGACCTTGGCCAGCTGTGCTCCTGGCGAGTACTGAAGTGTGCGCGTTTCAGCATGGGGGAGGGGGGAGTGTTTCAGATTAATCAAAGGGCAACATGAGTTCTTTCATATTTTGTTGGAAGGTTTTTTCCAGTCTCTTGTACAGTTTTGAAAAAGAGATCCTATTTATTAAGCTTTATGGGAAAAATTGTGTGTGTGATAATTTAACGTTTTTGCCCATTAAATTAAGACTTGTGCATGTTCACGGGGTGAGTGGTTTCTGATCTCTGAGTCCTGGATGGGGAATCCGGCATCTTGGGTGGGGGTGAGGGAGCGGGTCGCGGATGGTGGGTGCTGTGGGGGAGGGGGCAGACTGGTCATTCCCAGGGCACAGGGCCAGTGAGCTGGGTGGGGCAGCGGTTGGCTCTGTCGGAGCGGAAGGGAGGCAGGAAACCGCGAGTGGAGAAAGGGCCCCCAGATGTCAGCTGGGTGCCCGGAGCCCCGTGGGTGGGGGAGTGGGCGGTGGCTGCGGCCTTCCCTGTAGGGGTGTGGCCCG